TATATATACTGTTGAACAGCTGCTACTTCTACTCTCCTAAGTTTCCAGGTAGAACAAAGCCGGTTTTGGTTTCTCCTGCAGGACTTGAACGTTACAGAAATCCCAGCAGCCGCAGACAGCAGAGTGGTCCTTCCTGTGAGGAAGAGGAGCAGCTCCTGCTCAACACGCTCATTCTCGCTTTTATTAGCACAATTTAAGACAAAAGGCAAGAGACGGAGCGGATCCCAACACAAACTCGACTGACCAGATGCTTTTATCTCAACACGAAGCGCGCGCGCACACACAGACACACACATATACACACATATACACACACATACACACACACAGAGAGAGGGAGAGAGGGAACAAAATGCCTCTCCTCTCCTCTCTCTCTCTCTCTTTTCTCCCCTCCTTTTCTGCCCCTCCCTCCATTTCTGTTGCTCTCTCTCCTCCCTCCACCCCCCCACTCCGGCCCGGCTGTCTGACAGGGTGAATAATGTCCTCTACCTCAGGATGGAATGGGGGGGCGAGGGGTGCAGCAGCTCTGCTCCCATGCTCTGCCACTGAAAGTGAATGACAGCTTACCTGCATGCCAATCTTCATCAGACTGACACTGGGCTGACAGCACAGCCTATACTCCTCCACACAGCCACTGACGTCAGCAGCCACAGGCCCCTCCCACCTTCCCATCCTCATCCCCCTCTGCTGCTGCCTTTCCTGCTCCGTGGGAAAAACGGCCATCCGAGGGAGGGGGGTCTCTGCTGCGGCTCTGCTTCAAGAACAAAAACTGCTTCTGAATTTACGCTTCATTTCAAAGGAGTTTTATTCGGAAATAAAATCAAACAGCATCGTTTTCTTTTGCTGCTGTTTTCTAACATATTTATACAGCAATCAGAAAATTCACTTTGCTTAGATGTAAAAACTGTAGTGTCTCCTAAACCAGGGGCTCTTAACCTTTTTGACCTCGGGGCCCAGTTTATTGAACATAAAGTGACACGAGGCCCAGTCAGACATTACCAATGTATGGATCAAAATGATAATTGTTCTAAATCTTGGTTTAATTTTTATTGTTTTTACATCATAACTAAACTATTGAAGAAATTTATAGTTATTAGAGGTTAGTACTGATGTTAAAAACACAACACTAAATTTTTAGGTTTTCCTTTTTGTAATGTTGACAATGTTTAATCTATTATGCTTTGATTGATAATAGATTAGTTACATGTCCGAATTGTATAACAACACATAATCAACCGTTGTGATGACATTAGCTGAGGATTTTGTCTGAATGCCTGTGATTCAGCCGTAGGTCAGTAGGGGGTGAACGCAGGCATTGAAGAACCTGTAGAAATTGATGAACTTCCTGGTTTTTCACCAGTGTTGGTTTCCTGTCAGCTTGAGTGACTATAAACCTCACTCAGATCCAGAGTTCTGGTGTTGTATGGTTTGATTCCTTCAACAAATCATTTTATTTAACAATGGTATTTTTAATATCGACTTCAGTTTATTGAACACGAATTTTCTTACACTATCATAACTAACGTTACTAAATTAAATACACTTACAATTTAAAAGTAAAACTCCTGTCAAATAATCACAAGACGTGATTATGACAAACATTTTTTACATTGTAACCCATAACAAATATTTAAACAAATACAACGATCAGTCAACAGACCACTCAGGCTTATCAGCACAAAAATATATATTTGTTAACATAAACAA